ACACAATGACTGCTAAACTATAGTCACGTGTCTTTTAATTGTCATTTAATTTGTAATTTAATTGTAATTATAATTGTTTTGTTATAAACAAATGACAGATAGTATTGAGTGATAAATAATTTTTGTTTATATTTCTGTTATTTTGTGGCAAAAAATTGTTTTTATTTGTCGTTTAAATTGTGGTTAAGTTTTAATTGTGACAAAGATTTGTGGCCATTGATTGTCTCGTCACTCTTGGGATCAGCTGTTGCGGTGATTGAGGCGATTGAGTGTCAGCTGTGGTATTGTGTTGTTTACCACTTGTTTGCTGTCATCAAGAGATTGAGTCATTTAATCGACGGGTCATTGGACTCGTCAAAGACATCGCCCCATCGGTGGACACAACGGATCCATTGTCTCACACACTGACTGTCATTCGGTGACAATGACTGCCGTCACGAAAGAGGCCGAAGAGTTGGACAAATCGCGCAAACATTTGTCACTTCTTCGCGAAGAATACGTAAAACTGCAGCAAAAGTATTGCGATTTGGAGAAGAAGTACAACCTATTGAACGCTTCCTCCGGAGTGGTGGACGACAACTCATTCGTCTCGCGATTGGTCCGCAATGTGGCCAACCTTTTTGACAAAGACTTGTACTCCGATCTGACCATTAAACTCAATGGCAGTTCAGTGAAGGGCCATAAGTTTGTGCTGTCGGCCCGAAGCGACGGTTGGGATCAGTTGGACCACTGCTCCGAACTCGACTTAACGCATGTGAACCCAGAGGTGGGCTTTCACTTCGTCCGATGGCTCTATACGGACGCCATTGACTTCAGTCACCGCAACGAAGACTTCATACTGGATGTGATGCGCGCCGGGAAGCGCTTCGACTTGAATCCGTTGGTAGAGCTCTGCGAACAGACACTCATGTCGTTCGTGAATGTCTCCAATTGTGTCCAATTCTATCAGACGGCCGACGAGATCGGCGCCGAAACGCTGAAGAATCACTGCTCGGAACTGGTGTCCAATCATTGGGACGACTTCACGAGCGACGACTTTGTCTCGATGTCCGCCCCGTTGTTGTACGCGATGTTTAAAACGAAGACCGAATACCCGTTGCATACAGCGATTCGGATCAAGAGAGAGGACGTCTTGTTCTTATATTTGATTGAATTCGACGCCCAATTAGTGGTCAAACTGAACGAAACCGATAGAGCGGGTGAACTGCCCCTCCATTTGGCGCTGAAGACCAAACAGGAGGACATCGCCCGCACACTGGTCTCCCATAAGGCCAATGTGAACGCCGCCGACGCTAACGGCCAGACACTACTCCACAGAGCCATCCAACGAGACGACCACTTCTCGGCCCACTTTCTCGTCAAGAATAACGCGTCGGTCGATACGCCCGACTCCGTGGGCGACGTTCCCCTCCATCTGTGCGCCGATAAGGCCAACAGCGACGGTATGTCTAGAATCGCGCGCAATCTCTTGGACTCCGAGGCCGACCCCAACTTCCAGGACTCCAACGGCAACTCCGGTATTGGATCTGAGTTTTATGTGTTGTTTTGTTGACTTTTTAATTGATCCCTTTATCCGATGCCCAGCCCTTCACAGAGCCGTTATGTCGCTAAACAAAGAGGTGTTTGACATACTATTAGAACAGCCGAAGATTGCTATTGATTTAAGAAACAAAAAGCATTCGACGAGTTTTGCCATAGCGTTGACCAAATTGGCCGAAAACGAGTCATTCGCCCGGGAATTGGTCCGAAGGGACTGTTCTATTGACTCGATTAATCCCGAGACCAGCGACTCATTACTGCACGCGTGCGCCCGAGTGGGTAATGAAACGGCCGGACTCTTCCTGACCGGCAATGGGGCCAAAATTAATCTGACCAATAGTCGGGGCGAATCACCCCTACATATCGCCGCCGCTAACGGTCTCTCTGGTCTGGTCTCGGCTTTACTCGAAAAAGGTATGAAAAGTTGTCGAATTGTTTTGTTTTTTATGGTTTTTATGACTGCTTTAACTGTTTTTGTGTTGCGGTGACTGTTCTTAAGGCGCGAACTGCAATCTCCAGACGTCTCCGCTATCGTTCGCCGAATCGATGTCATCGCCCGAAGCGGAACAGGTGTTCAATCAGACGCCACTCCATTTGGCGATCGTCGGCGGCCACGAGTC